GATCTGTAGGATTCTCTAGTTCAGATGAGTCATGTAAGTAATTGGTATGTTTCAAAGAACTTTTCTGTTCCTCCTAAGTTGGTCTATGTACAGATGTTACAGCTGTTTTCCACTGTTTCTTTTTTTGAGCACCACACATTTGCCAAGAGGCCCCCATGTGAATGTGAATGGCCTTACTCTGTATAACAAGGTATATGGAGTGGTAAATAGTAGCATCTCTACTTTATCAAAAGAAAAAGAGCTAAAATTAAAAAATGCTGATCAACTTTTCCAAGGGCTTCACCTGTAGAAAATAGTGGAGATAAAATTCAGACTAAAGTTCTCTGACTTGATGTTTCACATTTTTGTGGGCATGGACTGTGTGCATGTGAGCTTAAGGAAATTCTTATCTTGCTTTTATGCTGTGAAAAAAAAGATTTTTCTGTGTAAAATTATCCAAATAACATCTTATAAAGGCAACTATTTTTCTTCCCCAGAATATTTAAAAGAAGAGGTAGTCAATACTGGAATATTTGATCAGTTAAATTCATTTAGTAAGAAATAAAGCACTTCTACAATGCTTGAATTAGCATCCCAGTTGAAAATGGGAATGTTGAGATCAAGAAGAAGATATATTTAGCTGTATAAATTAACTAAGTTTTATTTATGTGAAGATTAACTTTGTCTTCATATTTGAAGGACATCATTGGTAGTTATCATTAAGGCAGGAGCTTTTTCTCAATTGGTTTCTTACAACAAGAATGGATTTGTGAGCTTACACTCAACTGTTATTGACAAATTTCTTGGATTTCCAAGTGACTCAAACATGATCTGGATGCAGATCCTTTTATGAAATAATTAAAGGAATTAAGACTAAACCTAGGGGCCAGGGAGATGGCTCAGTGGAATAAGTGCTTCCCTGGCAAGCACAAGGGTCTGAGTTCAATCTCTGGTTCCCCCCCCCCCAAAAAAAAAGACTAATCCTTGATCTTTATCTTCTTTAAAGATATGAAAAACGATGCAGATAATCTTAGGAAAAAAGAATCCTAGGATCAAAAAATCTTTTTCTCATTGATCTTTGATGAATTTAGAAGGAAAAGTTTAGCAGGAGAATAAGAGCATGGTGATCTCAGCAATATGTATCATAATTCTTTCTAATTTTTGATCTATTTGCCCTTGGTAGAAATTAAAGAGTTTATTTTTAGAATTCTAAATGTATTGCATAGTTTCTACCTTTGCTGTAGTGTAATGCTACACAAAGATAAATTCAGCCTTACAATATTCTCTCAGAACATAGAGTACATGTAATATTCTGCTATTCTGAGTAATCCATCCAGGCAAGACTCACTCACATAGTATGTGTAGGTTTGTGCTAGCGGCTGTGGTGCAGATTGTTTCCACAGCATAATAAGAATGCTAATGGCTTGTAAAGGTGGGGTCTGTCAGTGGTTTAGTCATGTTGCCCTCTATAATTCCATCACCAAAATTTTTCAGACAGTTAAGGATGTGTAACATAATTGTTTCCTATTTTGAAGGGTGGAAAATGAGATAGGACCCCAAATTCCTATTTGGAGAAAGCTACTGAGGAATTCATGAGTTCTGTCTTCTCTTTTTTCTCTTCCACCATACTCAGTTTCTCTAAATGACTTCTACAGTGTGTTAATATATGAAGTTACCATCTCCGGCTACTAAAAGTCTTTTCTCTGAAGAATAAAACTAAATGGGAAGAATTATACCCATCATATTTTTGACTCCTTTTAAAAAAAAGTAGAACTTACATCTGAAATACCCACTAAGAGTCTTTTTGATGGATCATAGCTTCTTGGTGCAACTCCTTTTTCCTGTCATTAAGTCCTACTAAGCTTTGGCATCATTTCAGTTTCTCTGAAATTTAAACATTTATTTTTTCTTCTTTAGGGAGTTTCTCTGTGAAGCTGCTTTGATTCTAAAAGACTGTTACCTATTCTGACAGGTGAAACTAATATCAAACTAATTTTCCATAGATTGTTAAGTCCTGTATTTATTCTGTAAATGCAGGTAAAAGCAGTCAGTTGGAATATTTAGAAGGCTGGAAATATGATTTCCAAAATGAGCATTATTTCCCAAGTTTGATTTTTGGAGGTTGTCTCATATGAAAGCTATCAAGGGCTAGATTATTATAGTGCCTAAAGCCAACCTGTTCTAACAGGCTTCATCTTCCTTTGTACAAATTTTAAAAGAATGGGTCCTCACGCAAGCATTTCAAACCCAGAGACAAATTTGAAAAAAATTGCTGTAACATGTTGACTGATTCCTTGCCAAGTCAGCCACTAAGAACTTTGCTTGATCGGCTTTTCCACCATAATGGATGGTAGGAGGAACCATATAACTTTGGTATCAAAAAACTAAGCTTCATGTTACCCTCAAATCCCTCTCCTTCTAAGAGTTTTCTACTTTTACCTCACGTCTTATCACTGTGCTGCCCTTTCCTTTTTCTCTGTCTTCTAATCATTTGTGATATAATCTGTAGCTCTAATGTATTCATTCTTACTTTTAATATTGATACAGTGATATGTTCTGGTGAAGTATCTTTCTAAATATGTATTCAGATATGCAGATTCAAACCCACAGAAAGGTTAAAAACATTTAAAAAATATGCTTGTCAACAGTGGAAACGAAACTGTTCGTAGCCAGCAGGTGAGCTGGAGAGTACTACAGGGTGTGGTAGAGATAGTAATAAATTAACTGGCAAGCCAAAAACTATATTTTAAAAAAACCCAGCTATTTCATAGCACAGAAGCATGACAGCTATGAAAAAAAAATGGAGTGCCCCAGGGAATTCTCTTAGAGTTTGATTTTTTAAAATATGTTTGACATGAAAAATGTTTTAGTACAAATAAAGCAACTGGTATTAAACTTACAGGGAGGGGCGTTGTGGTTTAGAGTTAGCATGAATAATGCATGATATTTAAAGAAAGAACAGCTAGCTCTAAAATGTTCCAGGAGGCAGTCCACGCTGATGGTTGGAATAGATGATCCCCCCCATTTTTGAAACATCATTAATTCAGCATCATTTTATGATTATTTTTAACCTGATAACATCAATTGAAGAATACTGTTAAGATACTTTTTCTTCAAATAATTTAGTTTAAAAATCACAAAGAGCAGTAAGCACAAAGTGACAGTCATTTAGTATAAAAAATAATTCGTACTGGTTATCTTTTTTAAAAGCTTGTATAGTACTTCAAACTAAAATCAACCTCATGGAAGGGGAAAAACAAGATCAGATATTTTGAACATTACTCCATAGGAGCTCAGCACAATATAGCGTTAGTGAATACATTGTAGCGGTACTCCATATGCAATCAGAAGCCAATTGTTACTGGACTGTGTACAGGCACACACTGTGCTCAATGGTCTGATGAGGCATTATGGGTATGATGCAAAGAGACTGTGTAGATTAGAAGCTAACAATTTGTTAAAAGTGAAAGCAACTTAACATTTACATTGGGCCAGCTGAGCAGCACTTCATGTGGCAAGCAGGATGATTTCGAAGGAATCCGGCATCAGCTTCTAGATAGTAGTGTCCAGGCAGAAAATAAAAAGAGAGAGAGAGAGAGATTTTATTATTTTCCCATTGTTAACTACCTCTTATACTGTGATTCTTTCTCTAATGTCTCTTCATTATTACATTCAGCTTTCAGTGTGGAAAAGTTCATGCAAAACAGCATGATTATTATAAATGTCAAAAATGTGTGGAGAAACAGCCTATTAAAATATAGCCTAGAGAAAGTACATAACACTGACTTTAAATAAGTAGCTGAAGCCAAAGTGACACCACATTAAATCACTGATATTGTGTAATTTATCCCCAAATATTAATTTTTAGTTCAGTTACTACTATGAAAATGTTCCTTGTCACTTCTTCATTCTTTGATTTTTTGATCAGAGACTTTGTTCTTAGGTCATAGAAGGTTTTTTAGTCCTCTATTTAATTTTTTAAAATTTATTTGGTACAGTGGCTCACTATGCAGCTTGGAATCATTGTGATCCTGTCTCAGCTTCCCCAGCTCTGGGATTACAGCCGTGTGCCATCATGCCTGGTTTCAGTGGCTGGCTCAGTGCGGAGCTGGCATGGTATGTGGTACTGGTGATTGTACCCAGGTCCTTGCACTTGTCAGGCAGGCGCTTAGACTTCTGAGCTATCTCTCCAGCCACAGTCCTCTATTTAGGAGTGGGCTGTAGTGAGATACACAATAAGATGTAACATTGATCTCACTAAACTACGCTTTATTTCTACCAGACTTTATCTGGTAGATATTTATTTGGTAAATATCTACCCATGAATATTGTGTAGATATTTAATCAAAGCATCATCAAAGGATGTTTCATCAGTGTCTAGTGTGCATGTTTATGTCCTAGGTTCTAATATTATGATACTAAAGGTTAATTTAGATAAATGGTTTCCACTCTTATAGATACCAGGTATTTCACAGAATGCTGGCAGGTAAGATTGTCTTTAAATACAATCATTAAAGACGTTGCATTTTAAAAATGCTTTCTTTATTTTTATAAAATAAAGTTTAAGAGTTACTGGCACTCCATAGCTAATTATCTTTTTTTTTTTTTTTTTGAACTGGTAATACTCTGTCTTGCCGAGCAAGCTAAAACTTTTGTTGTTTAATAGAAATGCCTCAGTGCTTTCACATTGTATTGAGTGTCAGCCTGGCTTTAAGATATTTTTTTTACTCTTAAAAATGATGTATTACAAGATTTGTAATGGAGTGAACATGCTTGAATTGCACATTTAATTTTTTTTAACATCACATTCATGTTTTGCCAGTTTGCCTACCAGCTATCTGTTAACAAAAAGTTCCAAGGCAGCCCGGCAAGTCTGTGCCCAACTAAGCCTTTTGTTTCTGCAGATGTTTGGGCTTAGAGCAATGTTGTTAAGCTCAGGCAATCCAAGGACCATGTTTGTACTTGCCTGCTGTGATTCCCTGTGCATTGTCTAAACCTGCATGCATTGTTCTTTCCGACAGGTGATAACTACCCCGTACAGTTCATTCCATCAACAATGGCAGCTGCTGCTGCTTCTGGACTCAGCCCTTTACAGCTTCAGGTGAGTGCCAGAAAAAAAATGTGGGATATGAGCCAGTATTTTAGTGGAAAACTGCTAACCAGCTGTATGCTAAATAATGGCCTGAATGTTAAATAATTTTTAAAGCATAGCTCGGAAGGATTAACACCTTAGGTACTTACCATACTGCAAGTCAAAGAAAAAATTGCCAGTTCTGTTATTTTTTAAAGGAAAAATGACATTATAATTTAGCACTGCATATTCTTTATCAGATGAGTTAGTATTTTTATTGTATTTTCAAATCTCTAGCTATTAGCTTTTCTCTTATAAACTTTTCATCTATATGTAAATTATATCTAGATTAGCTTTTATATATAAGCATCAAAATAGAGAACAATGTTGGACATTTTTCCTTCTTCTGGGTCATGGAAAAATATGTTATTGACAAATTACTTGACAGTGAGAGAACACTTTGCACCTAAATATGTATATTCTCATCCTTCCAAAGGCCAAGAGTCTGGGCATGGTATCTGACCAAGTTCTGGATTAGTAGTAGGTCTTTCAAATTCAGGGAGAAAGTGACCCTTGGAAACTGAATGAAAAGTGTATTTGTACCATATATTCTTCACAGTAAAATGAGAAGTGTGAAATAGGACCAGGTGTTCTTTAGACTCTTTTAGCACTATCATTTGAATGAGAAGAAGGCTTTAAATATACATACTTATATTTAAATATACACTTGAATTTTCTTTAATAAGCTAAGGAACAACATCTGGCCAGGCATTTTTATTTCTGTTACTAGTTCCTATCTGACTTGATCCTGAAAAGGGTGCAGCTACTGTAGCATGAAAAGCCATCAATTTCAACATTGACAAAGAAGTGCATAAATAAAGAATTTTTGAAGCACTTAAGAAGTTGTTGTCATAAGCCTCATTCAGGAAGCATGAAAACATTATCTATTACGGGCTATCTTTGGCCAAACAAGAACAATAACCCTGCCTCTCTTGCAAATCTTCACCTTTTACACTCTAACTTTGGAACTTATAGCTTTTAGCTAAAAACTGAAGTGAACTAATGGTAAACCTAATTTATTTTCCCATTTCTTGTAGCTGAGCTATGGAGGATCCTCTTGTTTCAGAGACAGAGATAAGAAAATAGTGCCATTGTTTGATCTTATAACCAAGTTTCTGTAAAACAGAGAGGCTGGGTCTTAAATCTCCTACTTTCCATTCCTTGATATGGTCAATACCATGGATTTAAAAATACATGTTGTTTCATGAGTTCTGACAGTATGTTTTGTCTTTTTTTTTTTTTTTTTTTGAATATGTTACTAAACAGAAAGGTCATGTCTCTCACCCACAAATTAACTCAAGGCTAAAGGGCCTAAGTGACCGTTTTGGCAGGAATTTGGACACCTTTGAACATGGTGGTGGCCACTCTTACAACCACCAGCAGATTGAGGTATGAATGCTTCCGTTGGTGCTTTGCTTCATTGGGAGGGGGACTGGATTGTTTAGTCATGTTCTATTTTTTTTTTAAGTGGCAAACACTTAACGTAACTATGGAACCTATTTTTTCCTTTAATTGTTTCTGAGGCTTTTTCTTTACCCACTTTCTTTTAGAGAAAAAGGCAAAACCCTATCTCATATCCTTTAATTAGGAATTAGATTGTTTATTGCCATATATACAGTATTATTTTTTCAGGTGAATTCTTTGATTGTCTTTAAAACCATCGTTCTTTACCTTATACTTTACTTTTACCATTTCTTTTATATAGTGTTATATAGTGTTTAATAAATATTTCAACACTTAAAATCTTTCATTTGACTACATAGTTGCTGTAAACTTGATAAAATAGAGAGCAGGGAGAGAGAGAGAGAGAGAGAGAGAGAGAGAGAGAGAGAGAGAGAGAGAGGAGGAAAGAGAGAGAGAGAGAGGGAGATTGACCAAACTGAGGTTCAGAGAGATCAAATGATTTAACTCAATGCCTAATAGGCTATATATTAGGCATTGAGTTCAGTTTTTGCCCAGGCTTTCTAATTCTACCAGATTCGAATTTTTCAATGTGGTTTTCTCAAACAAAAGTTGACTGAGCCTGGCTTATAGCTCTTTTCCCATGAAGTTCTGTAATATCCTTTTCATATTTAACCTTCCAGTAAAACTCATCCTTACTCCCTGAAAATAGATGGTATATATGGCTTTTTGAAAATCAAGATTCTTTCTACTATGGAGACCCTGTTCTCCTCTCTCAAATTTCATACTTAATTCCTCTACTATACCATTGAAGTCCTTCTCTAGGACTATCAGATATTGGGGGAATGGCAGGTATCTGTTGAATTAAAAAAAAAAAAAGAATAGAAACAAGTTACATAATATTGAAGTTCACTTTAATTTTCTAATGAGGTATAATGCCAAATTTTATATTCTAACCTAAGATGGGTATCTTAACCCCTCAAAAAGAAAATATTTTTACTTTGACATTATCTTTTTTACTGTTTTTGAACCTATTTTTTTGGAAAGTGATGGGGCAATCACTCCTAAGAAGGAAGAAGACAAAATCAAAGGCCACCTTGGACATAGCCTAAGGAAGTGTTCCAGAGCCTATTGCCCGCCTTTCTTATTCCTTTTACTTTGCATAAGTCATAAACGGGGGTTTCCACTTGGACATGACTGCACATGTACTGACAGAGTATCAGCTGTCTTCTACATAGCCAGAAGAGATTGCTTTTAAAGGCTTTCTCTTAGTTGTAGAAAGAGTGCCATGTTTCTGGCATTTTGAAATTTATGGCTAGCATAGCCACAACAAGAGGTAACTGGACGTAAGGAACAAGCCCTTCTATGTAATAACCGTATGGTTATATGTTACCCACTCTTGAAAGTCAGCTTGAGGAGTTGATAAGTGCTTAAAAGATCATGAGAGCAGGTGGCCTTGCCTCAAACTCAAGGCTCTCTTCTTTGCCTTCTGTGATCTTCTGAGGTACTCTGTTCTATCCCATCTCCTTCCTGTACTCAGGTTTCTACTCAATTTCTCTGTCTAATTTTTCACTTAGGTTAGTCTTTCCCTTACCTCCCATAATCACCTGCACCCCTGGTGTATTAAATTTAACTTCTTTTGAGTTTATGGAACTGTGGTGTCATACCTGTGAGTGCCAGAGTTGAATAATATAGTAGTGGCACTGATGTAGAAGCACATTGGATGCCACTTCTCTGTCACTTCAATAGTCTAAATAGGCCAGGGAGATAGCTCAGTGTAATAAGTGCCTGTCTGGCAAGTACAGGGTCCCAAGTTTGATTCCTAATGCCAAAGTAATAATAATAATAATAATAATAATTAATAGTCTAAATAAAGAACCCACAGATATAAGCGCCTCTGTGATTTTGCAGTTTAAATTTGGCCAGCTTGAGAATTTCGTGGGTTTTTGTTTATTTTTGCTTTATTCTCTTGCTTTAATTTTGTACTTTTCCCCTAAGTTTCAGAAAACCTTTGATCTGATTGTTTGAATGATTCACTCATTAGGAAAGATTGATCTCGTTTGAAAGGCAACTTTCCTGATGTGAATGTAGCATGTTCTTTGTATGTCTGTGAACAACATGCTAGACGCTTATATCTGCTATCCAGTACCATTTTAAAGTTTGAGGAAAAGAAGGAAATTTCAATAATACACTGCCTTATTGATATTAAAACCCTGTTTTCTTTTTTAGTAGTGTCCTTTCCTGTGACAAGCTAAAATGTCACACCTCTGTCAACAATAATGAAGACAACGTATTGATGCTAAAGAAGTTTTAAAATTATGCCAAATGATTTTATTTAGAAATAGGAGTTCTTAGGAGGAAAACTCCCATGAGACATTACTCAGAATGAGTATTTTCTATCAATAATATTACAGTTATTTTGTCTTTCAATGGCTGTCCTTTCTAAGGGCAGACAAGATAGCTAAACGGACTAAATGCCTCCTTAGGCAAGCGCAGGGACAAGGGTTCAATCCCCGGCACCACATGCTGTGCTGGCCCTGTCCCTGGGTGTGCTGAGCCAGCCACTGAGACTAGGTGTGGTGGCACATGCCTGTAATCCCAGCCCTGGGGATGCTGAAAACAGGAGCATCACTATGAGTCTGACCTGCATAGTGAGACCCTGTACCAAATACATTAAAAAAGTTGTCCTTTCTAATATTAATGAGCCTGCATAAATCTTAGCATTTATAGTAATGTCCTAGAAGTCTGAAGTTTTATCAAGATATTTAAGATGCAAAGACCTTCTTTGCATTAACATATTCCAGTTAGTTCTTTAAAATAAGACACAAAAAGGCCATTTTTTTTCTAGTACCGTGCTGATCTAGGGCATGGTTTTCTCTGCCTCAGGGGCACAATATTAGGAGAGAGAAGACCAAAGAACGCTGTTTTTAGTTGAACAGTTCAGCAGATGGAGGCATGAATACTCATATATCTGGATGTTGAGGGGCTTGAACCATTAATTTTGATAATGTATTTAACCCTGGGAACAATCAGAAACTATAACTCTAAGGTTACAATGCTTTTGACCTTTAGAGAACAGAGGGCACTTGGTACAGTAAACAATATATTATATTGCTACTTATTTCAATTCTCTTACTCATATAAATTTCAAGACCAGTTGCCATTTGCTTTCCTCAGCTATGTTAGCCTTGGTCCTTAAGTAAGTCAAAAGAAATGTTAAAGGAAGGGTAAGTATAGTGAGGTAGGCAGGTAAATATGGCCTTTAAATAGCTGCGATGTTAGATTGCTTCCCAAAAAATATGGTCTCAGAAACTAACCTCAGAATGGCTATTTAATACAAAAGAATGGTTTCAGTGTATTGATTCATTTTATGTGATTATTTTTAATATGATAATCCTTAAAGTAATTTTGTTTTGTTTCTAATTGTGAATAATGTTGTCTCATAGTTTTAACTTATATTAAACACAAGCTGGTACCACATGCAAAGTGATACACCTGTCTCCTGCTTTCTTATTAAATGATGCATGCTTCTCTTTAGCAAATACAGCAGTTAAATATCACACAGCTTAAGAATTTCTAATTAAAATATCTCCATGTGTCAGCATATTGGTAATGTATTATTTTAATCCATTTATTTTGTTTATGAAACAGTGACATATGTTTAGATTGTGAAATATATGAGCCTTAAAAATCACTTTATTGAAGAAAATTAATTCCCACAATACTGTCTGGGTAACGTGTTCACTCACCCAGTCAGTCACTGGCGGCACTGCCAGTCTTAATGTTGGGTAGATGCACGTCTTACTTTTAACCACATAACAGTCTTGGAAAGAAGCATAACTCTTTTTCTTAGCTCCAAATGATAAGGATTTTCTTTATTTTTTCCTTACGTATTAACTTAAATGTGTCTTACGTTCCCCAACACTTTTTAGAAAAAAATATACAATGAAAGATGGTAGAGAATATTTGTATCAAGGATTATGAAAGACCAGTCAAAATTAAAACAAGCTAGTTATCTTTTCAAAGTTAGACATCGTAATTTGTTTGTCAGCAGGGAGATGTTTGGGTCAGCTGTGAGATAAAGTGACTGTCAGCAGCTATTCCTACAAGACAAGTAATTTCACTCAATGTATTACTGACAGATTGCTCACTTCTCTGAATCACCAGAGAAAACAAACTTAATATTGTTATAGGCAGAGTTTCTGTCTTCATTAGCTCCAGAGAATGATTTTTATCAAGCATTCAAAGCCCATCAAGCTTTAGGTGGGACATATTTTAACAGACTAGTTCTTAAATGATAGTATGGGTAGTAACCCAAATGAAGGAGTTGTACATGAAAATTCAAAAAAAAATTAATATGAATACATTTTTACTTTTATTTGATGGACATTCTATGTGGTTTGGAGAAGGTTTGAAGAAAGGAGTATAATTAAAAACTTTAAGCACTGAGGAAACCTATCAACTAAGTTATGTTATTCTTAAATGAAGCAGTCTTGCAAGCTTGAAAAGACAGAACAGTTGAAATTTTTGCAAAGATGAATACAAATACATATTTTATTTAAATGATATTGTCAATTTTCATGCTACAAGTAGAAAATGAAGGATTGCCCATCAACATGGGGAATGCTGTATTTTAGTGCTAGCCTGAATCTTTACAACACTATAGTTACTGGCTCATACCTTGCCTTATTTACAATTGCAAACATACCTGAGTGCTACAGAGGAATGGGAGGGCGAGTTAGTTTGCTTGGCGGGTTTGGGAGATTGTGATTTCTAATAGTGAAGAGGGTTGAATAAAGAGTTGATTAGAGTGACCAATTGCTGGCTACCCAATGGAGAAAGAGGAATGTGCTGATTCCAAAGCTTGTTAGGAGCATTGCAACCGTGGGGCTGTACTTTGAGGGGAAATACTTGAGTTTTTTCTCAATCAGCATCACGCACCCCCTCTGACTGTTTTTTTGACGTTTAATAGTGAGGTAGAATTTGCA